TGGGCAGTTAAAAGAACTGTTACAGCAACTGTGACCTCAAAAAGTTTCACTATGTGCTATTTTTAACTTTACAGGTCTTAAGCTCTGAGGAGCACAATGAATGATTGGAGTCTGAAAGTGAACTACATTTTCCATTATTAGAACTTTAAAACTAATTAATTACTTAACCATACTTTATCCAAAAAGTGGAACTTGTAACTCAGACACAGCCTCATCTGCTGTGTCACAACAGTGTCACTGTAACAACTGAAGGGCCTTACAGTGCTGGTGACAGCTCAGCAGCCATTACTTTTGGTGTCAATTCACGACAATGTGTTAGGACACATGGAGAAACAAGCTCTACTCACCTGGGGATACTTTACTCCTTTTACTCTCTGTTTCCACAAGGTCCCTGCTCACTGGCCACGATCTGAGCCATTTTATTCCAAGTTGTAGAAACAGATGAAAAGTAGTAAAGTGCTGCATTCCCAGGAAGAAGATACTTCCTACCTTACTTTTGCAATGGCTTGCATTGATTGCAAAGCATCCTTGGTATCCACACTTCCCTTCTTGGGAAAGATCATCCTCTTGGGTCTCTGAATTAAGAAAGGGAGAATAAGAAGAGTATTTGGGGCTTTCAAAAAGTGTGCAGAAGCATTGCTTTTCCACCAGTATCAAGTGACTGTCTGTCCACCTAAACGAACAGCATTAGAAACCAAGTCTGAAGGGGAGCTACCACCAAGTCATCAAGTCTGTTCCTTCCCCATGATGTGACATCTACACATTAAACAGCCATTTGCCTAAATTGTCCTTGTAACCCTCCAGCAGCAGAACCCTACCAGCTCCACAGTTGCTACAGTCCAGCGCTTCACTGAGAAAATTCCCATGCTGGAGGGGTTGAAAAAGTCAGCCTGAAGGAGCAATTCACTTCATGCTCAGCCACGGTGGCAAGAAGCAGAATACTATGCCTGTAGTGGCCCATACAATTGGAGACCAGGCTGCCCTTCAGCGCTCAGACACATTCATTTCGTATTTCCTATTAATTTTTTAAAAACCCTTGACAGTTTCTCATGTGAAGTGCAGAGAAGACAGCCAACTCCAAGGCACCAAGAACAGACATGTGATCAGAAGATAAAGTGGGACAACAAAAAGAACAAAAGCAGAAAAAAGATGCAATGGCTCAGCTTGGATTTTCTTATGCCATAATCTGCAATGCAAATACTGCCTGAAACTGCAGGATCATGAAAAATACTGCCACTCCTGATGGACTTTTCCCTTAGTCTCTATGAGGGAACTAATTTGGAAAAAGGAATGAGGAGCACTCTTTGATTTATGTCTGATGAACAGACCAAGGGCAGGAAGGGAAGAGAGGGGCCTGTCCTATTTGACTTTCATTCAAGAGGGGGAATATCATGCACTGAGCCTTGAAAAGATAACTGTTTGGTCAGTCATGCTCACTTGAGATGGTGACAGCCTTCCACCAGGCTAACCAGCGCCTATCATTCATGGGATTATCTGAGCGGGCTTTTGCGTGAGTTTTGGAAGATCTGAGGAGAAGAATGAGAGTTTTCCTAGGAATCCTGTCTCACTCATTTCCTACCTTCTCTGGACAGGATCTGCCATGTGAGTGCCCTGGGCACCTTTTGAAGGGGGAGGTTTACAAGGAAATGGCCCCTCTCTGGAGATTGATGCCAACAATGTCTGAGCAGCTTTTGCTTAACTTCTCATCCACCTGGGTACAACTCAGCCCATAGATGGGGACAATTTAAAGCTAACTGGTCTGTTAATAAGGGCTGTATGCCTGGTGTTTTCAATGCCATAAAATAAGCCTTGACAAATAAAAGAAATGTTGAGGGGGAAAGGATAAAAAAGCTGGATAACTAAATGGAGTCAATGCCCCAAGCAGAAGGTGTCTCTCCAGGGGCATACTGCAGAGGAAAGGTCCCAGCTACCCTTTTGACCTGAAAGCCTGTAAAACCGTAGCCTGCACACAAGCACTATGTTTGGTTTCTTAACTCATAGCACCCCTTTGGCATTGTTGTGACCACAAGCAGCACTTTACAAATTAGCCCCTGTTGTGTTTTGCAATGGCAACATGAGGAAAATGAGGCAGTTTTAAGCGGCCCCACTTTTATTTTCTGTAAAATATCCATCAGAAAGCCAATGACCGTGGGTTTCAGGAACACTGACCCATGAGGTTTTCCCTTTTATTTAAATAATTTAACTGCTCACATTATGTCATACCCAATTTAAGTTTTTAAATATAGAAGAGAAGATAAAAACAGGCATGGACAACTGCTGTTTGACTTTGCCAGTACAAACAAGACAAATACATATTTCAAAATGTCAAGTGGCTGCTGCTTTCAGCTTTCTTCAGTGATTACTTAGCTTTGGAAACAAAAAATGATGTTTCTGCTCACCAGCTTTGTTTTCCTGAAAAAAGCCCTCTTGATTTCCAACTAAGTTTTAAAGATTTTAATTTTTAAGACCATTTCCAACTGAGTTATAAATTGGCAGAAATTAAGAAAAGTCACTATCAACTCTTCGGTGTGGGTACAGGCTGTCACAGTAACAAGAAAAGCAGCCAGCCTACTATTTAACCAGGGCAGTACAGAGCAGCAGGTTCTGCTATTTCAGAGAGGAAAGCAAAGGCAAGTATCTCCAGAGAATCAATCTTCAGCAATAACTGCCGAAACATTTGGAAAAAGGAATCCTTTGCATACTCTCCCCCAAAAGATCTTGATTCCTCTTCACAAGAGTTTGTAGAATGGTAGAATCCTACACTAATAACAAAAGCACATCTGTTCCAGGTCATTCAGCTCAAGCAATTAATGTTTCATTAGAAAAAAAGCCAAATCAGAACACTGTCAGGTAATCTGAGGGTTTGCTCTGACATTCAGCAAAGTCAGCAGGAAACCCATGTGGTCCTTGGCTCAAGAGGACAAGGGCAGAGGCAGGTAACAGAACTGCTGCTCTTCTTCCTGCTCTGCAGCTGCACCTTTGCATGTCCTTCATTCAAAAATAAAAACTTGGACTTCAGACACATTCTCTGTTACTAGCTCAGGGTTGTATTGATTTAACACCCAATAAAGGCAATTTTCAGTCGTTGTTACCATTTAGGTCCATGCATTTGATTGAAGTGAAATCCATAAATGACACGGCTTAAAAGAGGAGCCCATGAAATGCCCATTTAATACCAATACCAATACTAATACAGGGTATTGGTATTAACGTGCAATTGCAGGCCCAGGTGCAAAAGGACTGTTTACCTGGTGAAGGGGAAGGCATGAGGAAACACCAACATTGTAGGATTGCAGTGTTAAGATATCACAGGCGTTTGAGATATAGACTCAAAAGTGCAAATGTTTGTGTTGGAACAGAAGAAGAACTGAGAACAGGATGAAAGAAGGAAGATACAGATAGTGCTTAGCAGAGAGATCAAGTGCTTTCTTTCTACAAATGACTTAGATGTTTTTATGGAGGACTTAATACATTGGAAAGCCTTCAGCAACTCCTGGTCCTAGACCAAATAAATTAAAAAATCCGTTCCAGCATTAAATATCTATTGATCATCTGCAGGGCTGTAATTACATTGGTGCGCTCTACTGCTAGAACACTAGCTGTATCCTGGATCCAGCCACAGCTCTTCACAGTGAACTGTGTCGCAGGTCTTTAAAAAGCAATCAAACAGGAGAAAACCCTAATATTCGCCCATGAATGACAGCTTTTTCAACCTGAGCTGCAAAGCCAATTTTCAATTACAGGTAGTTTCAACTGCTGTTTGGTTTTCAGCTAAGTATCCTGCAGCTTCACATAGGCTTTGTTGAGGCTACTGGATTTTGACGACAGGATTATGTGACTGTTGATGAGCCATGGGACCTGCTAACAAAAGCTTTAAGCAGACTAACTGCACATAGCAATGTTCCAGGGCTGCTTTCACTTCTGCTTTCAATTTTCTCTTCTCTAAGTCTGTTTCAAGGCTGCTCTCTGCATTCCTAGGAGCATGTACATTCATATTTAACTCCATATTATGAAGAAAGTTCACTCATTTCCATGAACCGCACATGGATTATATGACGTAAATGGCAGACCTGTCAAAACTGTTGGAAGCAAAGGCTACATTAAGCGCAGAAGAAAATCCCAGATATTTCTAAAACAGGACAGCTTGCTGTCCCAGGTGTACAGGATAGCACACACACGTTGTCACCTACTGTCACACAGCCTGCAGTTCTGTCTGGTCAATACCTCGTGGCTCAGGATTCTGTGTCAACACTCAGACACATCCATTATTCCCTTTCTATAATGTGCAAGGCCACAGTAAGTGTTTCACAGATGATCTGAAGAAACATTACGTTATATTTTCTCCACTGATTTCTGTTGCAGATTAGGCACCAGGAGTGCCTAGGCCCCAAGGGAAAAGGAGAGGCATGACCTCCTCCTTTGCCCCCAAACACCTGAAACCCACAGAGCTCCGACTGCAAGCCCGTTCTCATGCTCCTCGTGCCCCTCCGGCCACCTCCACCAGTGCCTCGCAGAGCTGCAGTCTCCTTGACCATTTCACCAGCCCCAGGGAAGAGGCAGGCTCTCCTAGGCCAAGCCCCAAGGGGCTCATTCGGCCAAACTTCCACTGGGCAGGCCCCCTTTCGCCCCCGCTGCATCGTTCCGGCGCAGAGCCGCCGGCCCGGCGGCCGCCGCGAGCCCGGCAGCCGGCGCAGGGCTGGGTGCCGGGGGCCCGTCGGTGCAGCCCGCAAGCGGCGGCCGCGGGGGTCCCGCCGGCGGCCCCGGCGCTGCAGGGCGCGGCGGGGCAGCACCGCAGCGCACCGCGCCTGCTGCAGGTACCCGGGCGGGCTGTGGCTGCGCTCCTCGCTTCTCCCCGCGTCGCAAACACCCCCAGCCGGGGCACCCTCCTCCGCCGCGGCTCGCCACAGCCCACACCGCCCTGCACCCCGTGCCCGCGCCGGGGCTGCCTTTGCCCCTCCAGTAACCCCCGGCCCTGGGCGGACGCCCCCGCCGCCGCTCACCTCCTCCCGCTCGGCGGCGGCGGCCCCCGGCGCGGGGGTGCTGCCCGGCCCGCTCTCAGCAGCCGCCTCGGCTTCCCCCTCCGAGGACATCCTTGGCCATCACCGGCAGCTGCGGCGGCGGCGGGGGCTGCGGGACCCCGAGACGGCGGAGCCCCCCGCGGACCGCGCCCCGCGCCGTGGCCGGGGCTGGGGCGAGCCGCCCCCCGCGCCCAGGGCCGCCCTGCCGTGTGCTCCCGACTCCCTCCACCATCCCAGGCAGGCGGGTAGGGAGGGAGGGAGGGAGGGAGGCGGCGGACGGGAGGAGAGAAAGACGAGGCGGAGTGGGGGGGTGCCCCGGCCGCTCCCGGCCCCCCCAGGTGGGCAGGCGACTGCCCGGCGGCTCCCGGCGCGCTTCTGCGGGCGTCTGGGAGCTGCCGGGTATGCCCCCTTCCCGGGATACGACCTCGCAACCCCTACCCTTCCGGGGTGCTCTCTCTTGTCTTCTTCTCAGGGTGAGCCTCGCTCCCCATCCCCGGGTGCGCCCCGCCCGCCCCGGTGCGACCCCGCCGGCGGCCACCCCCCTCTCAGCGCCTCTTCAGCCTCCGCCGCCCGCAGCTCAGCCCCGGCCACGTCTCCCGCTTTTCCCCCAGAGCCCGGAGTTCGCCCGGGCTGGCGGCGGGACGCGGCCCGGCAGCAGCAGCAGAAGGGGCAGGAGGAGGAGGAGGAGGAAGGCAGCTCCGAGGAAGCGCTCCCTCACGGAGCAGCCCGACGATGCCCACTCCCCTCCCTTGCCGCTGGACCTGCGCACCGGCAACAGAGGGCAGCGCTGTCGGGACGGAGCTCTGGGGCTGCCCCCGCACCCCGCAGCCGGCCCTGCTGCCCTCCATCTCCTTATTCTCGGAGGAGCAGCTGGCGGTAGAAATGGATGCGCCCAGCTGCTCCTGCCCCTGCCCATCCTCCTGGCGGCCTGAGCCTCTCCTCTGGTTTCACCAGCCTCCTGCACAGGCTTTCCCCACAACTGCAGCCTCCTGCAAACTCTCTGCCCTGTCAATATTTCTTCCTCCTGCTTGTATCCTGTGCTCAGCGCATCCAGTCATGATTGGCTCTCCTGCTGATCAGGACTGGTGTGCTGTACCATCTTACCTTGGCATGTTTGCTTCATGTTTCATTATACACTCGTGACGCTCATCCCATTTGATCCATTTCTCTCTGTGTGCCTTAGAGCAGCATATATTTTAAATCCTTCATAAAAAATCTTACAAACAGGCAAGTGAACACACTTGAAGCATCAACCTTCACTTTAATACTCATACTTCAACTCCTGTCACAACATGCTTGCTGCTTTTTCAGGCATGCTGCTCTGGAAAATGCCACTCCAGGTTCAAGGCACTCAGGCTGCATAAGAGATTGTTTAGAACGACTGTAGAGCAGAGAATGGTGCTTGGTGTGTGAATGCATAAAGCAAAAAAACCCAAAACTTGGATTTTCATAAAGTATTGGGCTCTGCTAAATCTGAATTTTAGGATATTCATTGCATTGCAGAAGTCTTGGCTGATGCCATGTTGAGAAACCTACCCATCCTTGGGGGTGCAAGATGTCCATGAGGGACAATTAGCAAACTCCCTTGGCCTCAGTTGTCTCTGGCTTACACTGCAGTGCAGTGACTGCAACTAGCTACAGATTCATGTGTCTTGTCCTGCTCTGATGGCATCTCCTTCTAGCAGAAATGGCATTTGTTTGGCTGCACCCAATATATATGTCCAAAGTAGTTTGGATTTTACTTCTCTCAGACCTGGAGAGGAGCTGTGAGATGCACAGTGGAAGGGACTTTATTTACAGGTTTATAAACTACATGAGATTGCACATGTAAAATACTCAATTTCCTTTCTGTAAGTGGTACAATGGGACATCTCTGGAGGATAAGATAGTCAGCAGATTGGCACAGAATGGGTCACATCTAGGACACAGAAAGGAACCAAAAAGAATGCATAAGGAGTGCCTGTGACATACACACCGAGATCTATAGAGCAAGAGAGATATTAGAAGTGTTCTTTATTGTCAGCTCATACTTGTTTGTCTAGGTGCTTTAGTGACCCTTAAATATGCTATGGAATGGGTGCTGGGGATGATGAGATGTTGTGGTTAGAAGGGAAATGGGCCAAGCCAGAAAACTGTGCACTGAGAGACTGGGAATGAACTTCATATTTGTGCCAAATTTCTATCTGTAAGTTAAAAAGCCCTAGTAAAAGGCAACATGGAAGAAGATAGAGTAAATAGGCTTCAGTGTATCACAGGGCAGCATGAAGAAGCATCTCCATTCAGTAAGGAAAAAGGTTGACAATTTTCAGAAGATGGGGCCCCCATTTGTACAGGCAGTAGGGTGAGGCTGTGCACCAGGAAGATATCAGTTTGGCAAGCCACACAGCCCAGGAGTAAGAGCATCATATTCAAAAGCTGAGTCAGGCAAGGAAAGAAAACAAAGACCTGGCAGACCTCAGCCTGTCAGATTTGTCTGCCATCCCAGTCCAAATGGTTGCTTTTATTTATTAAATACATCTAATACCCACTGGACTTCAGTGATGCCTGAACAGCTTCATGAATTTATTTTCAATTCCACAGTCACTCTGTTTTTGATGTTGAATAAACTGTGATTTATCATCTAAACCAATCCTGACTGCTGTTTGGCAATAGCTGCCAGCAGTCCCAAGGACTGGCTAATTGGCCCTTCCACCTTTAAGAGGTGAAGTTGTCTCTGAGGATATGTAGCCCCCAGTTGAATTCAGGCTTTCAATCTGGAGGGCACATGCATATACATCTTTCCACCTGCCATACCGTCAGAATTCCGCTGGTACCTGAAGCCAAAACATAAGAAAAAAGTCTAGAGATGAAAGAGATCAGGAGAAGGGAAAATGAAGGTTACTATCCCTGAGATTTAAGCTTTGGAAATGTCATCTCTCACCAGGTGTCTTTGTTTCCACCTCTGTAGCTCCAGATTCAAGGTATCAATCTCTGCTATCAAGGTCACTCTCATAAATTGAAGGATCAGGGCAAAAAAGGAAGTTTGAACTCAAGAGAATACTGCAAAATCTGCGCAAAGAAGCTAATTTTTCAATTTCAGAAATGGAGGGGATCAGTGTCACTACTATGAGATGCCTGAAGGGGCTATTTTTCTTCTTTAGAAGCTTTATACTCTATTTTAACACAGATTAATTATGAATATTTATATATATAGCATCAAGAACGTGATAAGTAGTTTGTGGTCTGGCTTGCAAAATGGGTATATAATATTGCAAAAATCAGCTCTCTCTTCTGGGCTTTGTGCCTGGTCACTCAATCTTTCCAAACAGCCAGCAAGGAACAGAGACAACATGCATGTGTAGCTTTGCTGCCTCTATTCAGAGCAAGAAGAAACTGGTGCAGTCAGGAACTGCAGTTTGTGTCAGTTTAAGATCAGCACCCTGTCATTCAGAGCATGCCACTGTAAAAATGTTTATAATCCTTTCTCTGAGCTCAGCTGGGCCATTGCACTGACTCAGCAGGCAGACTTTTGCTCTGCTGTTTAGTGAGAGATGGCATTTGGGCTAAATTTGCAAAGATCTGGTACCATTTTGAAGATAAACCTGGAAGCCTGGTGTCTTTCTTTAAAATGAGACTACTTTGAAGATCCTGAGCATTTCTGGCCATCAAAGCTTGCAGAATACTTTACTGAAAGAGAAAAGCAAGCCTTCTGTTTTGGGTAGACTCCTACCCAGAAAATTGCAGTATGAAGCCTTCAAATTATTTCTCTGCTGCTCCAAAACCAGCATAAATTAATATATACTGTTAAGGAAGTGCTACATGCTGCCCCAAAGCTGACAGTAATGTAAAAACTATTTCCAATACAGATGGTTTGTTAGTTCATTTATGCGGATAGGCATATTGGAAGAGAGGAGCTATTGCTAAATATAAAGTAACCATCGTATGACTTGCATGTCCTGCCAAAGAACTATGCAGATTATCTGCAAGGACTAAATACTGTGATCCTAACAAGCTTTCAATATTAAAAAAGGTGTATTCCTAGTTAATAATAAGCTCTGCCTTTTTAAGATTACAAAATCAAACATCTATTGCAGTTACAAGTGTAATATCACTGCATCTATTTATGAGTGTGCAATCCAAAACATGCCTATTATATTTTGCTAAACCTGTAAAGAGAGAACACTATGTTGTTTCAATATTAACGCTTAGTGAAATATTTGTGAATCAAATTGTGGATATAGCAAAAGAGAATCTGTCTGGACCATTCACAAAATGAGCTTTGATATGCTTTTAGTAAGTAAAAAGCTGAAGGGAGACATCAATAATTTATTAGCACTTGGATTACATCCTCCAGTGCTTGTAGCTTGCTGCCTTCTTGAAGGAAAAGAGGACAAAGGCGATACTGGCTCTTAGGCTGTAAAGTCTTTGCATGCTCTGATCTCTTGGTTGTGACAAAGGATGCTGTATATTGAGGGGCATTCTGACAATGACTGTGATGACCACAGCTCCGAGGATCACAGTGGGATGAGCCACCAGCCCGTTGTCATGTGATGCCTTTCCAATTAGCAGCATGAAATAAGCCATGTGGTATTGGTACCTCCCTGGCACAGAGGCACCACTGCTGCAAGCAGCAGACTTGGTGTTCCGAGGGGCCTGAGTTTGAACAAACCAACTCTACACTTTAGGCTTTTTGCTTCCCTCCTGTTCTCTCAGATGTCTGTGCCCTGTCTCCTGCCATCTCTTTTCTGGTGGCAGTGATGCCTATGCTCAGTCTTTAGATTTAGTTATGGAACTGCCACATTGCACAGATATGCCAGAATTTGCACTGACATTCGCTCTTTCTTTTCAGAATGAAATGTTCTCTCCTCTCATCTATTTCTCTGGTTTGTGTCTTTCAAATTTGGCACCTGTCTCCTATTTCTCTCTTTCCCTTATCTTACTCCCTCTGAGGTGCTATTTCCAATACCTGAACAATCACTACTCTCCCAAACTTTTTCCCAGATTTTTCAACCTTTAAGTCCTGAGAAATCTTTCCTAGTTCTTTCCCCATCACTGTCACCAACAGCATCATCTTCCCTCACAGCATTGTCCTGCATTGTTACCAAGCAGCACTTAGGAGAAAGCAAAGGCTATTCCTCTGCTGT